TCCCAACATCATAGCAGGCGTCCGACGGCATCCCTTCGGATGAAATTCGTCGCAGAGAGCAGCTCCCTTTTGGGTGGAACATTGTTCTATAAACTAATTACACGGCACCTAAACGACTGTCCCCAAGGGCAACCACGTAGCCGTTTTTGAGACAAGGATAACTCTATCACTAACCAAACCAGTGGTAGCAGTTGACATCTGAGTCAGATGACCGCCTGTATTACTGGGGATAAATGCAGGGGGTACCTATTGAGTTAATAGCCAACAAACATTGGCGAATCAAGGGGTCTAGCCGGCCTACGCCGCCTGGTACCTCTACTTCTCAAACAGGAGTGACGGCGACTGAGTAACTCCAAAGTTAACTCATAGTCACTCTCTCAAACTTAGTATGGAGCCTAAAAGGTATGAGTCGTCCGCCTGTAGCAAACAGGGGCTCTCAACCACTACTCCTGCTAGGTTAACAACCTATTGAGTTAATAGCCAACAAACATTGGCGAATCAAGGGGTCTAGCCGGCCTCCGCCGCCTGGTACCTCTACTACTCAATCTAGATTGTGACGAAGACTAAGTAACTCCTATGTTAATAGTCACTCAAACTTAGTATGGAGCCTAAAAGGTATGAGTCGTCCGCCTGTTTTAACAAGCAGAGGCCCTCAATCACTACTCTTGCTAGGTTAAAAAATTATGAGTTAAAAGCCAACAACATTGGCAATAAAGGGAAACAACCGGTGCCCGCCGCTTGTTTTCTCTACTACTCAATTCCTTGACGACTAGGTAATACGTTATTTACTTGGTCAGACCACTTTCCTACTTGGTTAAAATTACAAAAAGACAGGCCCGCCTGCCTAAAAAGGATCCAGACAAAATAGTTCGAATACCGATTGAATAAATGGCCGACTGATCGTCTATCCTGGAAACAGACAACCAGTCGTCCAGGGGCATAGGCGGCGTACTAACTATCCGTACCTGTCTGCAACGTTCGGCCATGTACAACAGTCGGTCTAGTAAACAATGGGATATTAGATATGGAATACTTGGACAAATTTGAAGCAAAACAAAAATTCATTAAAAATAGGTCGGTCATTAAAGACCAGCAAAATATTCAAAGCCCCGGCCCCCTGGCCGGGTAAATACAAAGCAAACGGCACGCAGACCGTGGAAAGAATACATTAAGCTTAAGAAGGGGGCAGTTCAGTATTAGCAGCTGCCGCCTGGTCAGCACTCTTCTTGCTGGACTCGGCTTCAGCTGCATCCTTTTTTGATGCCTTACCCCCAAGTGGCACAAGCGCCACAACCGGCTCCTCCTCCTCCTCCAACGCTTCTCCCAACGCCTCTTCTTCAGCAGCCGCCAGGATCTCTTGATTATATGTTTCCGAACACTGGCGGTACGTTCTTTCCCAAGAGGCAAAGTCGGCACTGGGGAAGAGGCGGCCCCAGGTCATGCGCTGGATTTGAGCGGAGTCTTCCATCATCTCCCGAGCGAGCTCTTTCTTCTCTTGCTCGGCCTTTTCCGAGAGCTCTTGGGTAAGACTCTTCTCTTGGCTCACCAGGCGTTCTTTTACGCTGGCCAAGGATTTCTCCATGGCTTCGTAAGAGTACATTTTTAGGCGAAGAGGTTTCAGCTCGGCCTGGAGATTTGTGATGGTCGCCTCCAGCTCGTCATTCTTCTTCTGGGCCGCCTCTAACTGAGCCCGAACAGCGGCGGTAGCCTGCGCCTGATAATAAAGAATATCAATGGTCAGTACTTCATTTTGGGCAATTTGAAACATTGCCTTGTCACAGTCAGAGGCGGCCATAGCTTTTGCAGCCTTTACCTCTTTGTTTTTCCGATCAAGCGGCTTGCGAAGGCCGTTAACTCGGAGCAGGGCCTAAGTAAAAAAAAAAAAAAAAAACAGGCGTCAGTTTCCAAACAAAAAAGAAAACAGGCGTCCAGAATATTCAAATACTCAAAAATATGCTAAGTATACCTCAGCAAGGACCCCTGCAATCCCGTCAAGGTCAAGGGAGCCGACACCCCTGACCGCCTCCCTTTCAGACGCAGGAACTGCCCTGATTATAGACTTGGCCATCTCTACCAAGTCAGGCCCCTGGGGGCCGGCTGCATCAAGCGTAAACAAACGGATTAGACTTAAAAAAAAAAAAAAAAAAAAAAAAGAGAGCAAGTCTAAAATTTACAAGGATAACTTCATACCTCTAGGCGGCCCAGTTGGAGCTTTAGAAGAAGTGGCCGGCTGTTTCTCAGCCGCCACCTGTTTCCTGGCAGAACCAGGAGAGCTCCCAACAGTCGTCTTCCGGGCCTTGGGGTCCGGCTGTTGGGAAGATGAAGCTCTTGGAGTACCCGTCTAAAACAGAAGAAAAAAGTCAGTATATGCATAAACAATCCAAAAAGAGGGTGAAAGGTTCGGAGCTCACCAAGGGTGCCCCCTTTTTGGGGGAGTCGGTTGAAGCTTGTTGCATAATAGAGGCCCGCAACATGGCCGCCGCAGTCTTGGAGGCGGTGATTTTGCTCATGGCGTCAGCTGCAAAAACAAACGGCAAAGTTAATAAAAGATAAACAACAAATGTATGAAACAACAGAGTATTCGACAGGCCGACTACCTCTTGAGCACCGACTGCTGAGGCCACAGGCGGCCAAAAAGTACTCGTCATAGAGCCACTTGAAGCTCGGGACGCAGTGCAGGGGTACTTGCTCTCGTACCCCTGAAGTAGAGTCGACCCTCGACTCTACTTTAAAGAGTCCTTTGTCAAGGATCTCTTTCTTAGCCTTGGGGGGAACAGGCGGCATGCTACGGCCGCCTGCAAGAAGGGGCGGATTCTTGTTCCACCTATTGAAGCGCTTGTTCAGCTCAATGTCTGAACTCTCAATGATGAGGAAGGTGCTCCGCCAGTCCTTCCACTTGTTTGCTTTACCTCTCGTCATGAGGTAGCCCCTGTGGCTTGTTAATTGATACCAGCCGGTACCGCCTGTCTTAGGGGTCCGGCTGAGATAGTTCATATGGGCGAAAGCCTCGAAGCTCGGCTCCACCCCGTGCAGTTCGCACCCGGCCACATAGCCGAGTACGTTGACCCAGGAGTTTGGGGCTAACTGCCATAACCCCAACTCATACCCATCCAAAATCCGCTGAACAGCCGGATGTAATGGGAAGCGCAGCCCTGCCTTGATCGCCGCCTCGTAGCAGCCAAAGCAGGCGCTATCATAACTGGAACCAGCCGGCCAGACGACTGTGTCTTCTGGATCCGGCACAAACACTAGAAAGTCGGGGCCCATGGTGTGGTTTGCAATAAAGCTCTCCATTTTCTCTTGCATGGCTGTGATTCGGCCCCGAGGTACCGTGCAGTAGTAGGGGGTATTTAGCTCTCGGTAAGAGGCGGATGGTTCCGCCCAATTGTCCCCCTTCTCAACTGTGTGAGAAAGTCTCGCCTCTTGCAGGCGGCTGTTTTTCTCTTCTGTACCCAAAGAAGCATGGCCAGAAGAGCTTGACGAGGAATCGTCCTCGGACGAGTCTGAAGAGGACGACTCCTCCCCTCTCCCGGAGGGGCCCGCCTCCTCTCTTTGAAAAGGAGCAGATTTGTTAACTGTTAAATTGGAAGGGGTCACTATGACTCCCCCCACAGAATTGCCGGCATCCAGGCCGCCTTGTCTCACTTCAACATCTGGCGCCTGGTCAGATGTTTCACTAATCGGCACCCTGTGGGAGGAGCCGTCTGAATTTGAGATCCTAGCTGTCTTTTTTGTTCTGGCCATCCTGCTCTGCATAGACACATATACAGTCGGACTTTGTATAAAGGGCAAAGATGGGTCCGGAAAAGGGCAGGCGACACTCCTAGTCCTAGATTCAGCCGTCCCCGGTGACCGGCTGATCACTAACCTAGGTCGTGTCGTGTGCTTCCGTGGTGCCATTTCAGAAAATAAAAAGAAAATTAAGAGTAAGAGAACTGAGTTACCTGAACGAGTGACGGTTGATGAAGTTTTGGAAATCCGGTGCAGTCGGCTTGTCAGAACAGGCGGTAGGCAGAAAAAGTCCAAAATGTCAGAGCAAGTTCAGGGGTCCGAATGTTCTCAAATAGTTCTCAAAGTGTGAAAATGACTCAAGGCAACTCTCCCTTATATAGGCGAAGTGAGAAGGCGAAGGGTCACTTCCAGAATTCAAAATTTGGGCGGGAAAATCTCTCGTCCATTCGTCGACTGACACCTGTAGCAGGCCGTCGCCCGTTACAGTGCGACACCTGTCACAGGTAACACGTGACCAATCACGTGCCACCTGTGAGGGGCAAATGATTAGGGGATTTTGCTCCTACCAATCGGAATGCGCCACGTGGGCCAATCAGGACCTGCCAAGTGTCCCCTAGTTGGAACTGTCAGGGCTTGCCACGTGGCACGCGCTTATTCGTCCACCTTGGACCTGTTATGTCACGACATGTGGCATACTCCATGCCTAATGGAGAAACCGGCCACCCAGGCCCAACTTCCGAGGGAAGCCCAATCGGCCCTAGGTTTACCTAAACCTAGGATGGGCACGTTTCCCAAGGTTATAAATACCTCCCTTAATCCTCATTAAGGGGGGGGGGACAAAAAAAACAACACGCGAAAAACATTACGGAACACACTAATAACTGGCTGATCTCGCTAACAAAGCAGATTACCTACATTAAACATTCTCACCTAGAGAGACCTTATTACTTTAATTTCCGCATTAATTACTCCTTAATCAGGTACTAACTTGACCGTTGGAGGCGGAGCTCACAGGAGTCTCCGTTATTTTGCAGGTACAGGCGTCCGGTTCCAGTCTCAGAATTGTAACTCTCCCGCAGGACATCAGAAAACCCCGAAACAACTACCATCACGAGATATGATCTTATACATCATACCTTTATTCACACACATTGCACAATAATTCCCGTTGAGACGTTAATGAATGAAACATTTCTAAAGACAGGATGTTTGATTTGCCTTCTTGACCTCTTCTCTACAAAGAGATAGTTACAATAAATAAACAAACCATATTATAAATCTCAATCAAAATCAATACAGGGTGGATCAAAACCAAATTAGAATAATCACATTGCCAAATAAATATTGGACCTCCATTTTGTCTGCCTTGAATAAACTAACATGAAAATAAACAAAACAACAAACATTGGCGCCAACAACTAAATAGCCGAAATTATACCATTTTGGAACAATAGATCTACTTCCATAATCTGTGTTTTTTCTCTCTGATTTTTTTTTTTTTGGTTGATCCAATAAAATTATTATTTTTTTTAAAAAAAAAACATCGGAAAAAATGAGCGGCAGCGATGCGGAGGAAGCGAGGGCGGAGCTGAAGAAGCCGTTTCTTCATACGGGGAGTTGGTATAGAATGGGTGGGTCAACCGGGAAAGATCCGATAAGTAGTGGTGGAAGTTTGATGATGGGTTCAAGACAATCAAGTATTTTTGGGTCCATTGCTAATATGAGTGAATCCGCCATTTCCATTGTTTTTTGTGTTCTTGTTGTTGCTCTTGGTCCAATTCAATTTGGTTTCACCGTAAATTTTCTTACTTTTTGATTGATTTTTTGAATTTGATGATTTGGGTTTATTGGGATTTTTTAAATTTTTTTTTTTTAATTTTTTATTTTATTTTTTATTTTCTATGGTTGTAGTGTGGGTATTCATCACCAACACAATCTGCCATCATTAAGGATCTTGACCTTAAAGTCTCCGAGGTGCGAATGTCTTTTTTTTTTTTTTTTTTTTTTTTTAAATCGATGATTGGTTTGAGAATACATCGATGAATTAATGACAAGACGTGTAAGGTTAATTTACTTAGAATAAAGTTTAATGATATAATTTGGTTAATATTTGATTGAGGTGACAGTTCTCCTTGTTTGGATCATTGGCCAATGTGGGAGCAATGGTGGGGGCAATTGCTAGTGGCCAGATTTCTGAATACATTGGACGCAAAGGGGTATGATTTTTTTTTACAAAAAACTTGTAATTTATTTGTGCTACATAATTTTATTGTATGGTTTGTGTCATTGCCAACAATTCCTAGGTATCTTATACGATACAAAAATTTTCAATTTTAATGAAGGTTTTTTTGTACTGTAATGTAAGTTTCTGATTGTGATGTTCTGGTTTTGATTACAGTCACTGATGATTGCTTCAATCCCGAATATAATTGGATGGCTTGTCGTGTCATTTGCGAGAGTAAGTGTGGAATTGCATAAGCATTGTGCTATTTGCCTAGTCTTTGTCTGTCCTGATGCTTATATATACATCTTTCTTGTATGTTTGCATCCTATTGCTGCGCTTACTACAGGATATCTCGTTTCTATACATGGGGCGGCTACTGGAAGGTTTTGGCGTTGGCATTATTTCCTACACGGTAAAGCTTTTTAGTCATCAGAGATTCATAGTTGTTGAATTGACTTTGTATATGATGTTTGAGAAGTTCTGTATTGGTCTTTTTGTGTATTAGGTGCCTGTTTATATAGCCGAAATAGCACCTCAAAACATGAGGGGAATGCTTGGATCAGTGAACCAGGTGATTTTCTGGTTTTACTATGATTTTAGCTGATCATTTGTATCATGAATGATGATTACCCTGTCTTCTTACAAATACTAATCCAAAAATAAGTACTTAAAGACTGACTAGTTGAACAATCTATTTCAATTTCAGCTTGCTGTTACCATTGGCATAATGCTTGTTTACCTACTGGGAATATTTGTTGAATGGAGAGCACTTGCAATTATTGGTATGCCATTTTTGTGTATACTTTATGCTTATTACTCTAGGTTTGATGTAGCAAAATGTTAACACGCTTGATATTAATATCAAAATAATGCTGAGATTAGAATGAAGGTGATCATTCATGCTGAAAATTCCCAGCAGTGTAAACCTTCTATAAAAACTTACAGCCTATGGATTTAGATCACGGTACAAGAGTATCTCATTACAGACCAGATCTTAAGGGGAGACGTCAATTCTAAAAAAGTCCTAGCTCTGCCTTGATGAGAAAGATGTTAGTGTCATCTGAATCTGTGACCTAGGACAATGTGACCACTTCTCTAATGTAGAACTCCATGACATTATAATACAGAATAAGCCCTGTATTCTATCATCATTATTTAAGCTATTCTGAATCTTAATTCTCATGTGTTGCAGGAATTTTGCCTTGTGCTGCGTTGATTCCTGGGCTATTTTTCGTACCTGAATCTCCTCGCTGGCTGGTAAAATCCATCAATATAGCTGTTTATTAAATATCTTTGTTTTAATGTATAACATTTAACTTTTGTTTCCTGGCTTTCTCAGGCAAAAATGGGGATGATGGAAGAATGTGAAGCATCTTTGCAAGTTCTGAGAGGATTTGACACAGATATTTCTGTTGAAATGAATGAAATCAAAGTAATCAGTTTAAGTTACTTTAGTTCTTTTTCCAAGTTAATAAATATTTTTATTTGGTTGTAGTAATTTCTTACTCAATGTGCTGTACTGCAGAAATCTGTGGCATCATCCCGCAAAAGAACAACAATTAGCATCTCACACCTCAAGAGGAAAAGATATTGGTTTCCATTGATGGTAGAACGGTTTATTAAGACTATGGTTTTATTTTTACGCTACTAACCTCCAAAGATATTCGAAATCTCTCCTCTAATGCTAAACTAATGTGCTGCAGTTGGGAATCGGGCTACTTTTGCTTCAGCAGCTCTGTGGTATCAACGGAATTCTGTTCTATTCCCGTACCATTTTCGAAAAGGCAGGTTAGAAACAGTTGGTGACTGCATTTGAACTTGAAATCCTGTAAAAGTCCTAGCAAAAAGATGTATCAAACATGTTGAAGCTGAAAAGTTAATAAGTTATCCATATCTCTAAAATTTTTGGAAATGTGGAGGCAAATATATCCTGAAACTTGTACTTTAAGCTTCATCCGTACATTAGTATGGTAATCTCTAATATACCACAAATTGGACAGGAATTTCTGAGGGTGCTGCTGCCACATTTGGTCTAGGGAGCATTCAGGTAACTAGATCTGAGTTAACTATATATATTTAATTCTGATGAGTAATAACAAACTGTAAAACGTTAACTGTAAACTCACACTTTCATCTTTCTGGGAAACCAAACAGGTAGTTGCTACTGGAGTTGCCACTTGGCTGATGGACAGGGCTGGCCGCAGGGTTTTGCTAATAGTACGTTGTGTATATATAATTGAATTTGGTGTGGTGATATATATGCATTCAATTAGAATTGACAGTCTTGAATCATAACAGGTATCTTCAGTTGGAATGACTGTTAGCCTCATCCTCGTCTCAGTTGCATTTTTTCTCGAGGTCAGTAATCAGTATGGCTTACTTCATTTTGTGTTTGCATACCTATAATACTTGAGCCGATCATGAGCCAGGCCAGATTTTACATTTTGTTCCATGCCTGATGGAGTTGAGTGCTTTATAAAGTAGGTTCAAGTCAGTAACTTCTGCTTAAATTCAGTTTGATCAAACTTATCTAACTAGTTAGAGCTATACATGATTGGTTTCAGTAAACACCTATCATATCTACTTTAACAGAAAAATGCAGCCTGCTGCCCCAAGTGGGAAAATAGATTCTTTTCCAGGACGACAATTTATGCTCTTAATCATACTTTTTTACCCATCATTGTGCTTGATTTTCCTCTTCTTTCTGATATAGAATCCGTTAAGGCAAAAACAAAGTACTGATAAGTTGATGAAGTATCAATAAATAAAAATTGCTTAAAATTAGCCATGCATCTGTGTAAGGCCTCCTACTCTTTATGTTGTTGACAGGATATCATACCAAAAGACTCAGGTCTCCACAACACATTGAGCATACTCTCTGTCATAGGCCTTGTGGTATGCTTCTGGCTCAAATTCCATACCTCGAATTACATGAAAAAATATATATATATATATATATTTAATGCATATTTAAGGCCTCTTTTATTTGTGCAGGCTATGGTGGTTTTCTTTTCTTTGGGAATGGGACCAATTCCCTGGCTTATTATGTCTGAGGTATGCCATTGAATTAATGCTTATACCATTCTATACGATACTGAAGATTTTAATTTATGGTTGGTTATATATTTTCATATATTCAACCTGTTTTGAATCCTTCTGACCTCTTTGATGTTATAGACTTGTGAAGTAGGTTTTAAATGCTATGACAACTCTCTAAATCTTTCATTTTCTGATTCATTTAGAATTGTATGACAGTATAACCTATCGAGAATTTCCATTATTATTGTAAGAATGAACTGAATATTTCGTGTTTTCCCTTCCGTTGGACTTGACTAGATTCTTCCAACAAGCATAAAAGGCCTTGCTGGGAGTGTAGCAACAATGGCAAACTTTCTGACTTCATGGGGTATCACAATGACTGCAAACTTGCTACTTGGTTGGAGTAGCGGAGGTGATTCTTTCTCCTCGTCTTTCCCTGTTTTTTACTAAACTAATTGATTTTTACGTATCATCCTCTATGAAAGCTTCGAGTGTGCATAATGCTGATCATTGGATTCATCTTGCTCTAGCATTTTTATCTCTGGATAAATCCTGATTTTCCTTTTCTTTTGCAGGAACCTTTACAATCTACACATTTTTTGCTGCTTCTACTGTAATCTTTGTGGCGGCATGGCTTCCAGAGACAAAAGGAAAAACGCTCGAGGAAATTCAAGCATACTTCAGATAGAAGCAGTATGTGGTTATCCCAATTTTACTCAGCATTTCATGAGTTTGCAGCATACAGAAAAGACAGAGGAAGGAGGAAAAGTTTTGCATTCCTCCAGTATATACTGAAAAACGACTGTTGTGAGAAATTTTGATCCTTTACTGGGACAACAATGTTACATGTTCATTTCATTCATTTGTCAATTGTTGTACAAACAATACGCGTTATATGCGTTAATATATATCATTATTCAGTACCTGAAACAATACAAATATGAAATTAATTTTATTTTTTTTTCGGTGATCTAATCACACATCTAATACTACAAATTGAGGGCTTGCGATAAGGAAATGCTCTGTCCAGAATAGCTAGTAACATTGATATAGTGTATTTTCGAACTAGTTATGTGACAGCTGAATCTGGACGAAGGTAGTAGATAATCTTACTTATGATCATCTCCATCAGCATACACAGAAGCCAAGAATCGCTTCAGACATCTATTGTACACACACGGCCTCTCAAGGTGAACCAGATGACCTGCCTTCTTTATGCCTTCATACGATGCTTTGTCTCCGAGTTTCCTGCAAATATCATCAGGTACATGCACAGCATCTTAGTTTCTTGGACAGTATATTGAAAAATATTTTACTGATGGGTACTCATACTAGTAAAAAATAACATTCAATATATGGCAAAATTAGACAAAAACTTGTGGAACATACTCTTTCATTTGCTGCGCGATCTCCATGGTGAAAATCTGATCATTCTCTCCCCATAAAAGATGGATTTTCTGTGTTCAAGACCAGCAAAAATTAGAAGGTATATAGGAACGTATGTCATCATCAAGTTTACAAATTAGAGTATGTAGGAGATATATTTAATTTCATAAACAAACTAAATTCCCTCTGTTACAAAATATTTCAAACTCTCTTATTCAAAACATTTCAAACTACAATTTATAACTTCTTTTGGAGTGAAAACGACCATTTTATAACATGGTTAATATCAACATTTTCTCTTGTTTAGTTTGATCTCACTAGTAGTGTATTAACTTTCAATCTTGTTTTTATTCATTCTACTATTATCACGAAGTATATGATTAATCCCTTTATTGTATTCAGTCAAACCAAAGCGTGAAAATTATTTTAAAACAAAGAGAGTACTAAATGAAAAATTACATAGAGGAAGAAAGGTAAGAGAGATACCTGTGTGAAGTTAGGGATATCAGGGTTTTGTTTGGCAATGACCAAAGCCTCAAGCAGTTCATTTCTCTCCTTTCTATTGGTAAACATCACCTGTCAATGTCATTTTCAATTTCTAATAGTTAGATGCTGCACACCACCACATTGATACACTCAAAACATATTTTTTGATGCAAGTAAGCATTAAATTTACATACAAGTATGACATAATAGTATAATTCAAAACCTACCCTTCATTTTCAGAAATTTATATACCTCGAAATCAAATTTGAATTTTGTAAATGTCGATATATGAAAATTTTATTTTATATTTAATAAATTGATATAAGTAATAATCTCCCTTATTTAATTGTTGTTACTTCCTCGCTCCTTTAAGTGCGGACATTACATAAAATTTTTGAGCTGGAATATTAGTATAAAATGTTCATTTAATTTGATTTATATTTTGTCCACAATTAGCAAGCTTTAGTGAGTTTTTATTTTTATTTTTTAAAACTAATGAATTAAGCTAGGTTGATTACCTAACTCAAGTTAATGAGTAACTATAAATGCTTGTTTGGAAAATTTTACCATGTACTTTTTTCAACCAACCAAAAAACTAATGTAACATTCAATTTCCAACCAAATGACTCCAAGTAAAGTACATTAGTACAAGTTTCAAATCTCAATGCAAACCATCCCCTTTTATTAACTTTACCATGCATCAATTATTCAATGTACTTTTGCTCAAAAAAAGTTATTCAATGTACTCCTTCGGCCTCAATATTAACTTGAACTACATACCATGCATTACATTCACATTGCATTAGACTATTATTATAATTATTATTATAAAGTGCATAGTTGTTATTTTTGTCTTAAACGAAATAAACTTCTTTTGACCTAAAACTTTATGTAGGGACCATGGTCCCATAAGTAAAAAAAATTCAATTTTCTGAAGTATGCATGATAATTACTAATTAAAGCTCCTTCAATTCCTTTTCATATTAAAATGCAATAATATATGTTTTTCATTGTTCAACATATAAGAACAATGGTTAGCATATACATACAAGTATACAAATTGTATGATTAATTTTAACTCTATCTCAATGTATGTTTTCAACCTATTAATAATTCATAAATTTAGATTACATTTAATCTGAAACAAAAGTAGTAATTACACAATTTGCTACTCGTATCTTGGTCTGACCCTCTAGAACATGTAGATGTTAGTTATTAGTTGAACAACTTAACAATTAAAAAATACAAAAACACTTTAATAAACGTGTTTAACTATTTATTACTCATTGTAAGTTGAAATACAATTTAACGAGACCCTTATTTAAAATTTGGAAGGGAGAAATATAATGCTAGTTAAGGAAGAATGATAGTGACATACATCGTATATAATAAAGGTGGTGTAATGTTCAAAAAGTAGGTGATTGAATTTAAGGGCTGCTTATGTATTTGGCAATGACATAATTTGAGAATATGACATTTGCTTCGATATAAATGCACATTACCCATATTTGTAGGGGTAAAAAAATTGCTTGCAATTCTTAAAGCATGTTTCTAATTTGGCTCTTGCAGAACACCTGATTCACCTAATGCACTTTAATCACCAACTCCTAACAACCCCTCATTCCTCACATCAGCAAATATAGAAAGGAAGAATTATGGAATGAATTAGATCAAGAGATCAATGGCTTTTTATTGGAAATACGTAATAATTGTGAGAGGTTAAGGGTTTATTTGATTCTTATCCAATAGGTTGGATGATTGTCATTTATGTGTATGTATATCAATCTTCCTACTCTATTGGGGTGACTTTCCTATCATACTCTAGAAAGAATAAAAGATCAATGTAATGTTTGTTATATTAAGATTACCAACCCTTATTTAATTAATATAATCATGCAATCACGTATGACTATACACATATTCCATAATTAATACTACGTATATATCATAATGGATTTTTTTAAATTAATATATATAAATAAAATTACGTAGGTATGCATTTATCTTAAAAGGAGGCGGAGTTAAATGTGCGTAAATGAAGTATTATATTGCTCCAACCATAACCATAAGAGCATTATTTATATATTTTTTTATATACTTTTTTTATGGATCAAATTAGCTTAGTGTTTTAAGCTTTTAAAAATTATGTATACATCTGCCCTCAAAAAAAATAAAAAATTATATATACATTCAATTGGTTTCTTATATTAGAAGGTTATATAATACATTTAACTTTAATTTTCATCAAGACAAATTACAAAATAATAAACCCTAATATACAGCATGTTGACTCTTAATCTACATAATGGAGGAATATCAACTAATTTAGCAGGTTAAAATTTTGAGATGACATATATGGGATAAAAAGTTCAAAACCTTTAAGTATAATTATAGTAGGAAAAAGCCTAGTAGTTAAGAGTTGAAGTTAAGTTATTACCTTAAGGTAATCCTTGTGCAAGCGATCAGGAAACCACAACTTCTTATGAGTTGCAATCTTAAGCAAAGTTTTCAAACCCTTAACCGACGTCGGCAACAGCAACTCCGACGACGACTTAAACCCCATCCTATTCAACTCCGCCTCACTGATCGACTCCGTCATAGCCAATATCGAACCCGACACCACCACCGCCTCCACAAGGTCCGGCCACAACTCTGCAAGCTTAAAAGCCACCATCCCACCGTAACTAAACCCTACAAGAGTGCACCTAGTAACACCCAGCTTCGCCAAAGCCGCCGCCAGACATTCCGCTTGAAATGTCGGAGACCTGTCAGCATTGCCTGTGCAAGACTTCCCAAAGAATAGGAGGTCAGGCACGTAGACAGAATATTTCTTAGAGAGAGCTCCTACTTGAAATTGCCACGTTACAATACCCTCGGCCGCAAACCCGTGGATAAGGACTATCACGGGTTTCGGCTTCAAGGGTTGTTTATTACTAGGTTTTTTCTTTTTGTTTGGTTTCGATAGGGTCTCCGCGGGAACCCAGAATGACATGGAGGTTCCCGCGGGCTCAATTTCCACGGTTGTTGGCCGGATACCGGCCATTTTCATTAGGCCGTGGAGGAGAGGCTTTTGGGCCTCCACTAGGTTCACCATTGTTATATGGTTTAGAAGAGAATTAACAAGGAAAGTATACTAGAAGACAGAAATGAAAGGAGGGGGGAGAGTAGTAAGGCTTGTTATAAAGGGTTAGTTGTAAAACTTATGTGTAGCAAATTAAGGAATTGTGGGGAGTTTGGTGATGAGTTGTTATCTAAAAATGCATGTGAGTTGATTTATAACATGGAAGTGTTTAATGCATGTACTAGGAGTATATAGTAACTTATGCAAGAGAAATTGATTGATATAAGAGTTGAAAAGAAGTTTATACTAGAATTAGAGATTACTTATAATATGGTATACACTTGTATTATTATAGAATGACTATAAAATATGGTATGAATTGTTAGTTTAGCTGCTAATTGGTCAAGTTCAGGTAGTGTAGATAGAAGTTTGGTGCTGAGGTCCCGTTTCCACTGACCGCGTAAGTGCTGGCGCAAATTATTGATTTTTTGGGGGATTCCGGCTATTGATATCCAAGAAGTAAATAATTATTTCGTCTTTTTTAATCGCAATGTATATCATTTTATTATATTAGTATCCTAATTATATTTTAGTAAAAATTATAGTGTATAAATATTGGTATTTTGAATTTATAAGATTAAGACAAATCTAACAAAATTCCACATATATAACTATGTTTTATTTTCTCAAGCACTACGTACTGTGATAAATCATAAAATAGTGTGCTAGACAATTTGGAGGTGGAGGTAAATAAAGGTTTCCTTCCTCTTAAGTATCACTAGACACTAGTGCATGGTTGGGCTTAAACTCCCAACCTTGAAGCAAATGGTGTTCTCCTTTTCACTAAGTCAAACTTAACTTGATTTAATCATACATATTTTATTAAAGGTTTGATAGATGAGTTAGGTTTATTAGTAATTAATACTCAATGTATAAGAACTAAACTTTGATTGAAATGTACAAGTACATTGATTATGAGGGTAAAGACCAACATCACATGAAATATAACGAGAGCGTGAAAGAAATAGAGAAATTACGAGTATCCATCATATATGTTGAGTGTAAGTGTAATACGCTTCTATTCTAAATAAGAGTGAGATTTCTTGTGGATATGATATTATATACTTGTAGTATTAAGTTGCAGTTTGTTCATATTTGAGGAGAGCATTATGTGACTGGCAATGTAAATTGACCCAATTGACAATTTTACTGTCGATCAATTTGCATGTAGATTTTTCGTTTTGTAGTAGGAAGTTGTCAGCATCCTAATATCATAATTTCTTGTACGAAAATCAATTTCATTGCTTATTGTGATCGATCTATAGGGTTCTTACCTCTAATATTAAGATGAGTGGCCAAGTTAAAGTGCAGTAATTGAGAATTAAACCTCTATTATTGAATAAAACTACCATGATTACTTATTAGGGTTAAACTACCATGATTAGAGATACAATAGCGTGCAAAGCTCAATTTGTAAACATTGTAAAAATAAAAATAAAACTATTCTATGTGGCTGGCTATACCATGGGGTTTACTTTATTAGTGTTATAAGAGAAATTTGTTCATTGTTACAAGGTTATTCAATCAATGTTATATAAATTACTTTGTTTTTTTACTAAACCAGCCACACACAAAATGTATTGTTGTAATATATATACTTTTGGAGGTAACAAAATTAAACATGTGGAACATTATTTGTAAAATTGTAAGGTGATTAATTATTTGGGATGTCCCTCAAAAAAAAAAATAAAAAAAAATAATTGAGGGATGGATGGCCTAAAGTAGCAATGTGATATGATGTAACAATAAACATCTTTAGAAAGATTTAACTTGATTTTTGTAGCACAATTGGAAGTACTATGTAATTTTTTAAAATCCCCCCACCCAATAACGAACTTTAAATTTTACACTTTATCAAGGGTTAATGTTAATTAATGGTTTTGTTTAGATTTTTTTTTTTTTTTTTTTTGAATAAAATTTGTTTCTATTAAATTGTATATGAATTGTTGATTGCATAACTACTATTTTTTTTTTTGAAGGGAGATTGCATAACTACTATTTATAATGATTACATTTGGATCCCAAAATATGTACGAAATTGTATTATTATGTGACCACGTACATATATAATTAGCTCACTAATTAATCACCACAAGTCTACAGTACCTTCATCTAAATTTAATTGTCACATTGTTAATTTGTACTAAGTATTACATCATTGATATGACAGCTTGTCGTTTGAGATAATTAAGTTGCAAGTGTTGACTGTTGATGAAGAAGTTTGACATATTGACAATGTATGTTGTTTCAAAGCACATCAATTCAAAAAAAATTTAAAAAACAAAAAAATGTGGGGAGTTGTTTAGATACAGATCAACTGTACTTCCTAATACCTGGACCCTCTTTACCTAACAAGTGGTCGTAAAAGATGAGTGCGAGTTATCTGAATTATAGTTACAAGTAAGTCGTTTGCCTAGAATTGTACACTACCCGATCTTACAAGCAATCTCCCCTTTGTCAAAATTCATTACTTCTTAGGAACTTTCTTTTTTTTTTCAATGGATTATTGGATAATTAATCATGATTGATACTTCCTTGAATAGATTTTTTTTATAAAGATTTTTTTTTTACAAAATTATAAAGACTTGTTCTCTTTAATATGTTACAGATACTTATTGCTTATTCTTTATAAATTCAGATCAGATCATAACAGAAACATTCAAATCGGATTAAAACTTTTTATTATCATGTATTTATTACTAAATATCGTCAATTGCGTATTAAAAAACTTATAAAAATTACACAATTAAGTACATGATGAGACGAATTTGATAAGATCCAATTGATGATGTGGTCAAACTTAGTCAAATTAATAAACCTGATTTTACAGACTTGATAGTAATTAATAAAAATTTAGATCAGACTCAATCTTCTTATTTCAAGTGAAAAAAAAAAACAAGTCCTAAATCTTTATATGAGTAATTTACAAAGCATATTACTTAAATTATCATTATATTATCAGCTGATTATATATATAAATAAAAAAATAAAAAGTAGTTAGTACATACTCCCTCCGTTTTTAAATACTTGCTTCATTTCTTTATACGCGGAGTTTTAGGAGAATTTGAAGAAAGTAATAAAATATGGAGGTAGTGGGATAGTTGAGAAAATAAAAAATTGTAAAAAGCAAAAGTAGTGGAAGAATAGGATAAGAGGGAGCATTATGTTGGGTCCACCAAGTGTGAGAAATGAACTAAATATCATAAAAGCTTTCCAAAAAAGGAAATGGAACAAATATTTAAAAACGGCGGAAAAGGAAAGTGGAGCAAGTATTTAAAAACGGATGGAGTAGTATTTGTCAAGAAATAAGATTTAATGAAAAAACATGAACAAAAGTCCTTTAAATAATTACTACACCAAAAATACCCCTTTTTTTTGACAAAAAAAAAAAAAAAAAAAAAAAAAAAAAAAAAAAAAAAAAAAAAAAACTAACTCGGCTTGTTAAAATTGTTAATCTTTAGCGTAAGAATTTAGAGCATAGTTTTGGGCTTCAATGATGTTCCGTGTTATTTTAGTGATACCTGGGGGCCTCTTTTGTCATGAGAAAGGCCCAAATGCTTTCTGACGAATTTTGTAGATTTTTATCCATGCTCAACGTCTGTGTGCTAGTGTACATGTGTTGGAGACCGGTGGGAAATACATATTGTCCACCAGGACTTTTTTCTGGGCCAATGGAGCAGAGTTTTGCTTCTCATTCGGGTAATTAAGTCGGCTTGGGTAATGCCAGGTCCGATCAGGTTTAATTCGAGCTTGAGTCATACTCCCTCCGTTTTTATATACTTGCTTCATTTCTATTTTTTGCACTATTTATTTGTTCTATTTTGACTCATATTTGTGATTTATACATAAGAAAAAAAATATAGTCTTGTGGGTACTTGTTGGAATCATCTCAATGAATAGATTTTTAATTTTTAATTGTTAGAATTTATAATTATTGATAATTAAAGATATTAGTGATCAAAGATTAGCATCGACATGCGTGTCCAAGAGAAATGGAGCAAGTATTTAAAAACGCAGGGAGTACTAACTTATGGTGGCTATACAAATTGAAATTTATGATGGACCTAAATTTTTTGTATACATCCGATGTACAGTAAAATTATTGTACGGAGTAACTTTTGTTCCATTTAGGATAATTTTTACATTTTTTTGGGTAACTTTTATCAATAAAGCACAAATAACTCTTATTTATATCAGAGAAACTTATATAAATTGGTTAAATTTTGATTATATTAAGGTAACTTTGTAACGGATGTAGAATATTTTGTTGTACATCCGGTTTTTTAAAATGTTTGTGATGACGGATTATCTTTAGTCCAGCCCTGGCTATGTCATTTTTTTACTCCTCTTTAGAATGGATTTATTTTTAGGCCAGGTCATTTATTTTTGCTCCTATAACATATAATTTTTAAAATTACTATGGAGTATTAAAATTAATTACTTTAAGATATCTTGTATTAATTTTATCATATCAGTTGAAATAAACCTTTTTTTTTCTTTTTGCAATAATCATAAAATTGTTTGCAATAATAAAAAAAAAATTAAAAAAATTGATTGTCATCGATAAAGGGTCAAGCCATACTAAAATCGTAATTCTTGAAACTACAAGTCCAGTCTATTCAGACACAAAACCAGCGAGCCTTAACTCAACCCAATCCGTCGTTAGTCTTATAACATTGCAAGTTAATTTGTCATCTCTTGTACAACCTCAAATTCGTTCTCGGTTCACCTATCGACTATCATAGCTTTTCATGCATGCACAAGCTAACAATATTTGAAAAATAAACAAAAAAAAGAACAAATATAGAGCTAGCAATAAAGTAATAAAATGGGTTATAGAATGAAGCAATCGGAAAACAAAGACAATGATTGTAGAATACGGCAGTGGTCCTAAGAGTGTTAAAAAGCCGGCACCAAAACCCCATTACCCAATTCCTAATAGGGGAATATAATGAGCGAAGATACAAATTTAAGTTTCGTGCACTATTTGCGAGGTGCCGTCGCCTTGACCGTAAAATAAAATCCACTTACCACTAGTTTTTATTTCCTTTTTCTTTTTTCGAGCTTAGTATTTGTGTTTTGTGGCTTTATATTGCCATCCAAATCGAATTGTACTACAAAAGCGAGACCTAAACTATTCTGGGGATAAATATTGGGGAATGTCTTTCATAGGAGACAATTCGAGGGTTTTACTCATTCTCCCCTCTTTCTTATCATTGCCCTCCTTTTCACGCTAAAGCATGTTACTAT